TTTGTCCTGTTAACAGTTTATACGCAGGCTGACATACATTCATTCGGTTCTTGCTTTGAACCCCTTTCTCACACAGGTTCTTCTGTTCACGTATACTTGATGAGCAAAACAGCTACCACTCTTTGGTGGAAACAAGTAAACGTGATTTATCTCGGCTGTTAAAAGCATGGGCTGTTTTGCATGGGATAAGTGTTTCAGTTCAGTTTGTTTTCTGTCTTTGGCAATGGCTCTGTACCAGATGTACTGGAAAAAGATGCAATAGCACGTGTAATGAGCTGTTAGGGAACAGCTTTCCCACAGATGGATCTTCTCAATGTGTCCTCTTTGTCAACAGTCTCCTAAAAGCAGTGTACCCGTGAAATTAAGGTACCCGTAAACATTTAGGCATGGCTGTGTCACCTCCTGCCTGGTGAAGACCGTTTGTGTGCCCAGTTGAGTTATGAATATATCAAGGTATGGGTATATTGGCCCTCTCCATTAGCACTCCCTGGAATGGTGCTCCGGTCAAACGATCCCACTGTATTGCAGCTGGTAACCGGCTGTTACCACAGACATGAGGGCAGCTGTTTTATGTCGGGTGATGGAGACTTGTTTTAGCTCATATGGTTAAGGTTGGCAAGACACCAGTCTGTGTTTCCTGGTCCAAATTCTGACTGAGGATGTGAATTATATTTGAAGTTACTATATTTAGTTACTTCAATTAAAATATTTTTATGTATGAAGAGAAGCATCATTTGAAGAATAAAAAAATAATAACAATAAAGAATACGGAGCCCTTCAACCATTCAGTCACTCCCCAGTTGAATCAGAAAAATTGTTATTAGTTAGCTGCTCACAAGCTTTTGTTGGGCATTTGATATCCATTGGAAATCAGCTCAAGATCAGTACCCGAGTTGTAGTCAATGAGTGCCACACAGGCCGGAGCCCTTTTTTCAGACTCAGAGGTGCCAGTGATTTGACAGTCACACAGCAAAGTCATCCCCAGGTGTGCTTGCTGTGCTTGTTCTGGGGCTACTGTCTTTAGGCTTGTCATCCCATCCCATACCATCACCTTTCAACAGGACATTTATTTCTGCTTTTCTTCCCTTTGGGATGGTTGGAGAAATAGCTGCAATCATTCCTGCAAACTCCTCTGATACTCTTGTGGTAGTTTTTAAATCCTGAAAGTAACATTTTAAAATATTGTTGGATCTTGTGTTTATATCTTCTGGTTTAAAACTTCATGCTTCTAGATAAACCTAACCTTTCTATAAATAATGCAGTTCAAAAGAATGCTTATGAAATAGCTGACTTGCCACAATTACTTATTGCTTTCCGGGCAGTAGACTAGGCATGAGATCATGGGAATTTACTGTTCTGCTTATGAAAGCTGAGCTGGTTGGAGAAGGATGCCACTGGTATGTGAATTGGTAGCTGAGCACTTGAAGAGAAACCTTCTCTTGCAAAAAATATGTGGTGGCCTCCAGCTCAGTGAGGTAAGCTGTTGCCCAGCACGTTCTTGAGCTCTTTGCTGCTGGAGTACCTCCTGTAATGTATACTGGCCCATCATTTACTTAAAAGATACTTTCCAGTGTCTTCTAAGTTGCAAAGTCTAGTGGAAGTAGGTGTTTACCCTTGAAATAAGGTGGAAGAAAAGGAGGAAACGGTGAGTTCAAAGCTGGGGGCAGAGGTAAAGTCACTGCTGTGGATCTCTTCTTGAGGACTTTGGGGTGTCATCTTTGTCACTGATGTTCCTTCCCCGTTTCTCTTACAAACTGAGATGTGTATGTTCTGGTGAGGACCCCCTGCTCAGGGGAGAAGGTGCAATGAGGTGAAGGCTGATGATCGTAAATAAATATTTGGGATATCAGGATGAAATGAAGGTGTCCTTCTTCAAAAAGGAAAGAATGCAGAAATCTAGGAGGGGCTGGAAGGAACCACAGGAGAGTGGTTTGGGGAACTCTGAGTCAGCTTGGTGCTGTTGAAGTCCATAGGAAATGGCTCTTGGACCACAGTGAAGATAATGGGGAAGGAATGCCAGAAAGATTATTAAACTTGAATGAAAAGTATATGCTTGCTGTGGCTCCCATCCACAGACTGCTGTACAGCTGGACTCTGTACAGTTCTGTATTTTGTTCGAAATAGTGACACTTCATCTTTTATTTTCAGTAAGTCATGAGCATGGATTCATTTTTCACAGTATGAAAATTTTACAAAAAAAAATTGTTTTGAGTGTGTTTCCAATATATTTTTTCCACATCTGACACCTGATTTAGTTCACAGATCTATGTCTTGCAGCAGCATGTCTTAAGTTGTTACTTATGTCGCAACTAAAATTAAAAGAAAACAAATTCAGGAAGGGTAAGAGGAAATACAGACAAGTGCATTCTTGTTTCAGGGTTACAGGAACTAGGAGTGTCCTGTGTTTCATTTGTTACTTCAACAGAATCATGTCACTCATCTTCATCAAGTCTATAGGTCTTGTTCCTGCTCCCCTCCCCGTGTCTCTGTGAGGCATTTCCAGAAGAGTGTTTGTATGTGTTGAGGTGGAGCAGGACTTCTGAAGTTCTCCTTGCCTACCAAATAAAAAAACCTAATTTCTATAGCAGACTTCTCAGTTCTTTTGCCATGAAACTGAGCCATTTTGTCTGGCCCTGGTGGCAGATGCATCGTGCTCTTTGGGTTCTGGGCTGTACTTAGCAAGCAGAGGTGAAAAAGGGGCAGGAGGAGGAGTGTTTTGCTGCTGGGGTTGTGCCTCTCGGGCAGACCTTGTGCTTGGCAAGTCCCTGTGTCAGTTCCCGAGAACCGCAGCAGTGGTACCACACCTCTCTTGCTTCATGGCCCACATACCACAGGCTTGCTCTATATTGTGAACCAACGTTTGGTATCCCAACATTTGGTATATCAACACTCATTTAATTGAGGGGTCTGCTTCAGCTGACTGCGTTGAGAGAATCTCAGGTTTAATTAAAAGAATTGAGGACTAGACAATTTAATTATGTTTTTTTCAGAATTTATTTTCTCTGCCTGTCCTTACCCTCCTCCCAGGTGGTTCTGGATGAGGGCAGGGGCCAGACTGTAAGCAATTAATTATAATGGGCATTTTAAAGAAAAGGGAAGTTTTGAGGGGTTTTAGGTAGTTACTGCATGGTTCTAGTGAATGAGCTCTGCAGCATGCTGCAAGCTAATGATGAAGGTGCTGCCTGGCATGCAGCAACTGGACACGTAAGGGGGGAAAAACACAACACAAAGGAAGGTGATAGAAACTTGCCTTTGCATATAACCTGAAATGCATGGTAATCAATTGCAGGTGTTCTCAACCTGTGGGTTGTAAACAGAAATCAGGAAATTGCAACTGCACTGCCCTTCCTGTGTTGCTTAACAGCAGGGGAGGGGCAGCCAGGGATGGAGAAGCCTGGGAGCCACTGCTTGGTGGCTTCTGGTGCACGAGAAGGCAGCTGTGTTGCTTACAGATCAGGAAGTTTTGCTAGTAGGGTCTGGTGCCGGGCCAAGAGGGGTTTGCGGGTCGTCTTTGTTTCTGCAGCTCACTCACTCCCACTGTACATGAGCACATGTATGCTGGTGGTTAATTCTTCCCATCCACCCTCTCACAAAAGAAAAAGCAAGATGCTTGCCTTGGCCCAAGCAGTGCCCCTGTTCTTAAAGGCTTTCTTGGTCTTTGGAGGCATGTATGTGGGGATAAATGGTGGTACTGAGTGTCAGGTTTAAAAAAAACAAAACAACTGTTTCAGGAGCTATACCAATCTAGATTTTGAGTAGGCAATCTTGGCTTGTTGCACAAGAGCCGGTAAAACTCAGCATACCTAGTGGTGCTGCTCACTTAAAAGTGCAATGAAACGCGTGAGGTTACTTGGCAGGGTGGTGTAAGCTAGTGATCAGGGGTTCTGAAGAAGTGGAAGGCCATCTTCATTAATAAGAGTCCACTTTGGTAGCTATTGCGTTTGGTTTAGAAGCACAGCTGGAAATGGAGGGGAAAAAAATCGGAATTTTTTAATAAAGAGTGACTGCATGAGCACTTCTGCCTCTTGTAAAACATGGCTGACTCTGCATTTGGTGCAGTGAAAAGAGTGGATCCTTCTGGCAGAGGAGGAAGACTAAGGTGGGAATTAGGGCCTCTGTTGAAGACTGTAAATAGCAAAAGAATCGATCGGCCCTGGTGGAAGCAAAGGTGGTTGTCAGGTGTCTCGCCGGGTGGTGGGTGCTCCTGGCGAAGGGATGCCTTACAAAGCAGCAGGAGGCTTGATCAGCAAGAGTCAAACACCGCTAGCAACCAGCACTGTGCACTCGTTAATGGTGGAAGCGTCTGCAGAATATTTACCTGAATTTATAATTTGTGTGCTGCTCCCCATAGGGGATCGGGCCCATGGTCTCCCTCCTCTGGACGAGTTTTCATATTCTGAGTGGAAATCAAAGGAGTTTTGCATGGTGGCACGGTACTGGGAAGCCAGGGTACTTTGAGGTGCCTCATATGAGGTGCTTTGTTAGTTATTTCTGATTTATTGTGCTAGGCAGATATCTGTTTTCTGGCTGCTATTAGATAGAGAAGTAGTAAATGCAGTCCTGATCCACAGTAAATTTGGTAGAAGTTTCCTGGGTTAGATTATTTTCTTTGTCAGACTTGGATGGGGACCTGCAGGTGGGGAGGAGAGTGATGCACTCCAGAGAAGTGGGGATGTTCTCCCCCATTTAGTTTCCAGGAGGCAGCCAGGGAGGGGATTAGCTCTGCACAGCTGTGGCAATAAAAATGATGGGTTGGTTGCTCAGAAACTGATGTGAGAAGTGAAGTAAATTTTTGTTTGCCTCTCTCAGATCGTCTCTCATCTCACACCATGATTTCTACTTGCCTACACAAAGCGCACCTTTACATAAATGTACAATAGTTACCCTAAAATTAGAGCAAACTGTGATCTTGCAGTTGAAATGGGAGGCTCTGTTTTGCTGTTTTATGTGTGCATTTGTGAAAGAGTCTCCTACAACTAAAACTGTCCTTGTTCTTCTAGACACAGTTGAGTCCATGCTTTCAGACTATGACATCCTTTCTCTGTCCAGCATCGAGCAACACTCACTCAAGAAGAGGGACCTCCAGCCTGAGACACATGTAGAGAGGCTCTTAAGTTTTTCAGCCCTGCAAAGGTAATTAAATAGTGTAATAGTGTAATATTTTCCTTCAGTTTGTGATAAATAATACACAGCTCCAAACCCAGAAGCAGTTATCTTGTTTTCTGTCATGACTAGATACTTCTTGTAAATTAGTAATCTGCATGGTTATGTGACTTAAGAGAGGCTCAGAGGAAACAGAAGAATAAGTTACATTGTACTGTTCTGTTTGCTGAAGTGGCAGTGATTTGTGATTTAAGATTTCTTTTTTTTTTTGTCTTAGCTTTAGCTTCATTTAGATTTAGATTACTTCCACTGATTGGGTTGGATCCCACTTCTGCCTCGTCTTGGCAAGATTGTCATACTTCTTGACTGTCCTCTGGTTCTTGAAAATCTCTGCCTTCAGTTTGGGGAGGGCATCTGGTGTGCTGCCCAAGAGGATTTTTTTCTTTTATAATGGAGGTTTAATCCTGTTCTTACTGACTATAAGCTTCCCATTCAATAAAACAGCTCTTTTAATAATTTTTTTTTTGCAAGATGGGAAATAGAAGTGCAAGTGAAAGGGGTAGGAGAGGTAGAAGACAGCAGGCATGAAGGTTGTAGGGATGCTGTTCTGAGTGTCAGAAGAATGCCTTACAGGTATTTCAGAGCTGAAATTGTGAATCTGAAATGGGGCAGCAGGGTGAGAATAACATTTGGTGTTAACAAGTCAATTAACTGATGTTAACAAGTAAACGTGGTTCATCTGACACCTTTGTATTCTGTGTTCTCATGTGCCTTCCCCATCTATCACCTAGAACTGTAACTGTCACACAAGTTGTTCATATTTTTTAAGTCTCTAAATGTTTGTGGGATAATTTTTAAGTAGTAAATATAAAGGTTAATGTGATCAAATCTTGTCTGGCTGTGCCTGTCTTGCACTGCCTTATGCACCTTGACATTATGGTGAAGTTGCAATACTACCAGTGATAATTACAGCATAATTGCAGAGGGGCATACCAAAAATTTTTGACCCAAAGCCCACATAAACCAAGAGCCCATGTGGCTCCATACAGGGAAAGTTCTCTACTTAATTCTTGGGATAGCCTTTAGTTATTTCTGATGCTATGTCATAAACATCTACAGAGTTCAGATTTCTGTTTATGGTCTTCTGACTGTATTATTTCAGAAAACAAGGACTTAAAGATAATTTAACTTAAAATATATTAACAAATTCTGTGGTCTGATTTTCTTTAAATATTTACTGGTAGTTGGTTTTGTTTGACTGCATGTGGAGAAAAGGTGCATCATGAGCAAACTGTGTATGTTTGGGAGGTAGGGTGCGTGTGGTTTGTTTTTGTTTGGAATTTCTGGTTTGTTTGTTGTTTTTTTTTTAATTAAACACCTTTGACACTTTAAAAATGTTTACAGTTACGAATTACACAGTAGCCTGCTTATCAGAGGTAATGCTTTCAAACTTCTTTGTGACCCTCAGTAAGATGGAGGTTGGATGTGTCTGTTGTGTGTATACTTTGCTTAAAAATAAATGGAAGTAAATTCTTTTACAGGCACTTTAAATTATACTTAACTGCAACTGCTGAACACTTTTCAGAAAAATTTCAAGCATTCATTGTGGATGGTGAAGGCAAGGAAAGGGCGTATCGTGTTCAATGGCAAGACTTTTTCACCGGACATGTTGTTGGTTAGTATGGACTAGACTGTGTGTCAGTGCAGAGAAAGCGCAGCTTTGCATGAGTATCTTGGCCAAAGTAAATGGTATCTTGTGCTCCTTTTCATCAGATATGGTTAGGATGAACAAGTAAACTTAATTCTCCTGCCTCTCAGGTTTTCTGGTTTTGTTTTTGTGGAGTTTTTGTGGTGGGTTTGGGGTTTTTTAGGTTTGGTTGGTGTTTTTGGTGGTTTTTTTGAGCTATTACTCCAAGGTTCTAAGATAGGACTCTTCTGTTTAGTTTGTCTGAACACAAAGGCATAATTTCCTCAAGCAGCAGCTTGTGATTTTTATTTTTTTTAATGATGATGATAGCTTTAATCCAGCCGGAGTGGAGGACTTGAATGTTCCTTGTCCCAGAACACAAAGTGCAGGTAGTGGTGATGCAGTGTTGCCCAGGTTGTTATATTAAATGATTTTAAGATCTTTCTTTACAGAAAAGTAATCTGCAAAGAACTGGTATTTTGCTCCATTTTAGTCTGGCACTAAAGCTTCTGCTAAATTGTTTTGATTTTTATGTTGTCTTTGTGATGTGGTGAAAGTCTTTTCCACTGGAATGCAGGCTGATGCCATGAAACTGCTATTTGATAGCAGTAAGATGCAAGCTGCTTTTGTTGGCAGACATATTCTGTGTCACATTACTAACCCTAGAGCCATCTCAATACTTTCTGCAAAATTATCAGTTAAATCTGAGTCTTGATGACTGTGACCACTGGGAAGTTAAGACTGGGGGAGGAGTAGTGCTGGTTCATTTATTTTTTTTTTCTTTAAACTGGACAGTATAGTGTTCTTCAGAGACTGAGGAAGGTTATTTGGCGTGAAGTTTAGAAGCAGTTAAAAAAAAACACAACAGCATCTGTGCATGCAAATAGAGATGAATTAATTATTTTTTTCGTCACTTATGTTAAAGGAGAGCATAATTCCAAGGTTGTGGCACATATTGGGGATGAAGATTTTACAGTGAGAATCAGTACCGATGGAGAAGAATACAATGTAGAGGTATGATTTACTGTTGAAAGCAATATTCAAACAATCAGTTCTTTTCCCTGTGGGTGTTTCTCTTTCTAGTTAGTCATATTGACACCTCTGTAGCTCAAAATAGACTTGGTGGTGTTTCTTTTGGGGTGAGTAGGGAGGAGGGAGAGAAACATGAAACCAATTTGACTTTTGCAAGTGTTGAGTTTTATTCGTGAGTGACATTCTCTGACATTTGCATGTTTTAGATACATCAGGGAGAAGGTATGTTTGAAACAGGGAGAGGTTTTAGAAACAGAAATGGGTAACGTTAGTAATTAGTAGTGATCATGTCCTCTAGAATAACTGTGCATCCTTATGAGCAGAGTTGAGGTCTGTTGAGCTTTCTAAAATTTTGGCTTTGTTATGTCTTGGAGTTTTTCCCATTCTTAGAGCTTTATTTGACAATCTGGAATTTTTCCCTGCTCCCTTGTTTCTGTTTCTCACCATTGTCATTGCTTGTGTTATTTGAAACTATTGGTTTAAAAACCCTATTCAACAAATATGTAATTAGAGACTATCCTAATGAGTTGTTCAGTGCAGTATATTCCCAGACACAAGCTGTATTCGAATGGCTGAATAACAGTAATTATGCCTGAGTGTTATACAGATATTGTAATTGTCTTCAAACCCAAGGATATGCAGAATTATTGGTAAACCTGGGAAGTCCAGTCATGTTGAAGTATGAAATTGTGATTAGAATACCCAAATCACTGTAGCTGTGTTTCATATTAAGAGCACATAGTAGCTGTTTGATTGTGATTTAAACCATTTTTGTGTTTGTAGTTGAGAATAATATAAGCATGCCTTAGTTCTCTGCACAGGCTGCCCCGTTGCTCCTCACTGACTGTGTCTGAACAGCTAAATAAGGACAGGGAACAGCATGGAGGCTCCGGCTTGCCCATGCTGCCTAGGTGTTAGCATCCATGCATCAGCTTTGCTCCTAGCCAGCCTGGGATGAGATGATGCCATGTGCAGTCAGAGATGGTGTGTGCTGGAAACCGTTATCAAAAGGCAGCATGGACAAAGTCACTCTGCCATTGCCTGTCTTTGCTTTCATGGTCCTCCTGTACCATTTGGAAAGGCTGCAGCCCTTCATATAGACCCCTGGTGCCCTCATACCTTGCCTTAGGGTGCAAGATGTGTGTCCTCAGTTTTACGCTGCGAACACACGGCTGCTGTGCCAGCACAGCCTTTGCATTTCAGGACCTTTCTGCTGTGAACTGAAAGCACAGTATGCTAAATAATAGTTGTCTGAAGTTGAAAGAGCACTGTCTAAGGGCCAGAGGAGATCCAGACCCAGGTGCTCTGCATTGTGGATGTGAGCAGTCTGTGCTACTTGGCCTTGCCCAAAGAACAGACCCTGTCTGTGTTGGTTTTGGTGGTGCTGCTGTAGCTGCTTTTGTACAGATAATAATAGGTATGTGGTGTTAAAAAAAAAAAAAAGATGGTTAGTATGCATCTGCTGTGGGAATTAGTGTCTTATGTTGGGATTTCGTTATTTTCTTGTTTTCTTTGGTTTTGGAGAAATTTCACACTTACAAGTGACTTGGGTAGCTATTGAACATTGAAGAGCCTGCCTTCTATGAAGACTCTGTTCTGCTGTGCTTAGATATTCTCTGTTATCTGCCAGCTCCTGTGCTTCTGGTCAGTACGTTTGTTAGCATAGTTTAAGCATCTCCCTGACTGTGCTGGTTTCTGTACTGTTATGGAGGGAGCAGAGGAGCATGAGATGCCTCCTCAGCTTACCTGTATTCTGGAGGGGAAGAAAAATTCTGTCTCTTCTACAGCCTTACCAGGTTGCTGCCACTGCTCTTTTGAGATGATCTGAGATTTTTGGATGCCTGTGTAGCATAAGAGTTGAATTCTGTTGGCTTTCTTGGGGATGTCATTTTTATCAGTAAGCTTATTGCTGCAGGTGAAATTGTTGTAGTCCAATGTACTTGTGTGTGTGGAGATTCAATGGTACATGCATCTAATTTTTTACTTATATAGGCTTAGTCTTTGCATTCACTGTGTTCATAAGTAATTGCATTTCTGTTGTTTTTGTGCTGTCAGCCACTGTGGAGATTTGTAGATAATGTGCAAGATGAAAGACTGCTGGTCTACAGATCTGAAGATATTAAAGATTTCTCAAGATTGCAGTCCCCCAAAGTGTGTGGTTATTTAAAACTGAACGAAGAAGAACTGTTGCCAAAAGGACTGGAAGACAGAGAGCAAAGTGAAGGTGAGTGTCCGTACCTTGGGAGAGCAGCATCTTTGAAATGAGTGCTTGAATTGTGGCTGTGTAGGCAAGTAAGATGAGAACCTGGGCAATAATGTGTGTTGCTGCATCTAGTTTAACTATTAGCTCTTTAAATTCATTGGCTGGGGGGAAAAAAGCAGCACTCTTCTTCATGCCCACTCCCCATCCAAAAAAGCCTCAACAACTGATGTTGCTCAGGGCATGTTTCTTCCTGGCTTGTTGAAAGCATATTTGGCCCTACCAGAGTGTAGGCTGAGGAAGGTATTTCATCAGGCCTAAGTAGTGTTTGTTGTGATAGCTGGCAGCAATGTAGGCAAACATTAAAACAACTGTATACTTCTGTGCACTGTGCAGCAGGACCTGTTTGTCCTCAGTGGTCATTCTGAGAATACATGTTGAGCTGTGATGGGGTTTTGGAGAGTTTTGGGTCCCTCTTTCCTCTGTCCTCAGCTGTAGCAGCAAAGATGGGGATAATGACTAGAAACAGGAGGAGTAGAGGTGGAGAGGTTTTAAGGCTGAGATGATGACCATAAAAGCTCTGTATGTAAATCCGTTGAATAGCTCAATGTCACTATTATACATTCCTTTCTTTACAATAAATTTAAGGACTGTTACAAAGACAAAATTCAATAATAATTATTAAAAAAACCCAAACATCCCCCTACTCTCCCAAAAAACTCACCCAAACTCATGCTCATGTCTTAAATAAGGATAACAGAAGCTGCAGTGGCAGTTTTGTTGAGTGTTTATTTAATTGTATTTGAAATATTTGCATTAGCAAGCATCCATCGGAGGAAAAGAGCTGTTCCAGAGAGCTCCAAAAACACGTGCAAGATGTTGGTAGTGGCAGATCATCGTTTTTTCAAATACATGGGCCGTGGGGAAGAGAGTACTACTATAAACTATTTGGTAAGTACTCTGTTACAATTAGCTGGAGCACATGGAGGAAAAAAAACAGTGATTCAGTAGTTAAAACAACATATAGCTTATACTACTTTTCTACAACATATGTATTTACATCATGACTATGTGTTTTTACCTGGAAAAGTGCTAAATCGTGCTTTAAAAATATTTTCCAATGGTGATATTGTAGTTAAATAGTATTCAAGTTTCATTTATAAGCAAATCCCTTTCCTTTACCTACTTCTTGTGGCTACGCTATTTTCTGCCTAAGAAATGTTCTTTTACCAGTCAGAGCTTTAGAATCTCCTTGATTTTGAATTCCACTGCAAATGATCCAAGCATCTTTAAAGCTGAAGCATGTTTAAAGCTCCTCTGAGGGGGGAAAGTGACTTGTATAGTGACTTGTTTTTTTCAAATTCTTCTGGGATTCTCTGTCTGGAATGATAAAATTCAAGCAGGCATGGTAAACAATTTGTTTGGTTGTACATGAGTGTTGTAGTTTAACCCGAGCAGGCAGCTCAGCCACACCCAGCTGCTTGCTCACTCCTCCTTGGTGGGATGGGTGAGAGAATCGGAAGGATAGAGGTGAGATAACTCGTGGGTTGAGATAAAAACAGTTTAATAGGTAAAGCAAAAGCTGTGCGCACAAACAAAGCAAAATAAGGAATTAATTCACTGCTTCCCATCAGCAGGCAGGTGTTCAGCCATCCTCAGGAAAGCAGGGCTCCATCACGTGTGCTGGTTACCAAGTAACCCAGCCAAAACCAGTAAAACAGTGCTGTCTACCTGACAAGTTTTTGTGAAATAGAATGCCTGCCCACAGCCTTGCAGCAGCAGTGAATAGTATGGGTTTGGGGACTTGAGATAAAAACAATTGAAACCACTTTTGGAGGCCTGTTGTTTATCCAGTCTCTTTCTGAGCCTGAATCTTTGAAATGCTAATCACTCTGTTCCACCTTTGCTGGCTTTTTGACCTTTCTGTCCCAGAAATGTTTACATACCCCAGGTAACAGAGCCTCAATTCCTGTGTTTGCAGAGATGCTGTTATCTCAGCATCTGACGTATGGCTCTTCCAGGCTAACCTACTGTTGTGCATCCAGATGTGTACTGTAAACAACACAGTGATTGGAAAAATAAAACATGAACTATTGAGGGGCTCTGAATGTCAGTTCCATTCTGAGCAAGTTTGATGGTTTATATTTGGTAGAAAGTGGTTTGTAAGAAGATGAAAACAGCTTGAAGAGGGAGGTATTGATAGAGAGCACTGAGGAGAGACTTTCTGGAACTTTGTGCTTGAACCATAATGAGGAAAATAATAGATTTTTGGCTGGGAGAGGGAAGCAAGCCTTAGGGGTGAGTTAAACTAGTTAAGCATCTGCTAAAACAAAGCAGTAAAAAGAACTCCCTCCTCTGCCCTTCCCCTCAAAGAAATGTAGAAAACTAGTGTATGAACAAAGTGTTTCCCAAGATGTCTTGTTCTTAATATTATTGCTATTCTGCTACGCAAATGAAAGTGATAAATGGGAAATTTTGTACTGCTTTTTTATGATGGAAGATTTTCAGTGATATTTGATAATAGTCTCTGGATCCAAGTGCTGGTTTTTTTGGATCAGTGAGTAAGTCTGCTATGTTATATGAGGTCCAATTTTAATTTGAAGTGAATGTTTCTAGGTTAAGTATGTTGCAGCCTCTCTGAGTGTCTTGAACTTTATTACATGAAAGCTCGAAACTAAATAAGTTGTTTTTCTTTTCTACATAGATTGAATTGATAGACAGAGTAGATGACATTTACCGAAATACTTCCTGGGACAATGGAGCCTTCAATGGGTACGGCATACAGATAGAGCAGGTATCCGCTGACCTATGCAAAGGCTTTCTGTTCTAAAGGATAAGAACATGTTTTGGATATCAAGGTTTCTGATCATTTTATCTGGATTAGGGCTATAATAATCAAAATTTACCGTATTAACTTCTGCCAGGAGCATGCTGAAATAGCATCTTGCCAGAGGTGGTGTTAATGATTTGACACAGCAAGCCCATTTTCAGTTCCTTGCAGTTTTTGAGGCGGAAGTTTTCAAGGAGAATTTTTCTGTATTTAACCTCAATTCAAAGGTGCTTTTTTTTTTCCAGAATATGAGCAATTCTTGTTTATGTCAGTTATACTCTTATGCATGTATTTAATGTGTGTGTTTATGACTAATGTTTAGCTTACAAAGCATGAGTGGGCCCCAAACACAGATGGAAAAAACCACAAATCCTGCCTGAAGAGCTTTAATAACCCACCTTAGACATAATGATATCATAGTGTAAAGGCTGTTGTAGAGTAGACGTAGGGGATGTAATGACTACGGTTTATATGATGGCTCCTGAAAATTCGTGCACAGAAATCTGGAAAAGGGCATTAAAAGAACAGGAATCCTTTGGCTCAGTACTGCAAGAGCTGTGATGTGGAATATCGGGGACTCATGGTACAGGCTAGCTGCCCCTTTTCTGGGAAAAGGTCTGCAGGAACAAGGAAGGAGAGTTAATTTGTCATTTAAGAGCATGATGCACTAATTCTAGGTTACTGGGAAAGTAGCAATCCTTTAAAATTTATTTTGGTTAGCTAGAATTCTGAAATGGTATGGGGTTATTTATACTAGATGTAAATCCTGGTTGGATATGGCTGGTCTTTTTTGATAGAAGAAGATGCATCTGAAAGCAGAATGTTACAGTGCAATCAGTTGATGTTGCTCTATAAAATGGCTCGTGTAGCATGATGTAGTCAGTGTATCTTAAATAGCAGAGGCTGTAAAGTTAATATTGGAACCACGCTGAGTCTGAATTTTTCTTCTTGCAGATCTATTGAGACATTTAAGATTACATTGAAAGCTTTTCTGTAGCTGTAAAATTGATCAAAATTCCTCTACATTGTTGTTGCCCTTTTTGAAATGTAGATTATTATCCACAATGAGCCAAATCTTGTAAAACCTGGAGAAAAGCATTACAATATGGCAAAAAGTTACCCAGATGATAAGAAAGATGCCTGGGATGTGAAAATGCTGCTAGAGGTATGTTGTAACCCATGAAAAATTGTGTCACTTAAAGAGAATTACTCATTCATACAGTTGCTCTGTAGTAACAGATGAAACTCATCTACTTCCTTTGCATGACATGTAGATGTTACACAAAGTCAAACTAGCTGATGTTCTCCGTAGCCTGTGGTAAAGGGCTCCATTGCATAATTATGGAGCACACACCAATTAGAATTATTAATATGTGGCTTGTGTCAGAAGGGCAGTCCTGACATGTCTGGCCCTGAGACTGGCTGCCTTGTGACCTTCATCAAATTATTGCACTTAGTTTTCCCCTCTCTGTGAAAAGGGGAAATGAACAGACAAATTATGTAAATTAATGCGTACAGTGTACTTGGGTATTCATTTAATTTCCTACAGCTCTGTAGGACAGCTAAACAGCTGCTTTTTTCTGACTTAACCAGACCTAGAAGATAGGTGTTCTTATCTGTAGACTTTTAATATGCACTTTGTCTTACAAAGATTTGACTTCTTTTTTTTTCTTTAAAGCAATTTAGCTTTGATATTGCTGAGAAAGCAGCTCACGTGTGCCTTGCTCATCTCTTCACGTATCAAGATTTTGACATGGGAACGCTTGGACTGGCTTATGTTGGCTCTCCCAGACCTAACAGCCATGGTGGCATTTGTCCTAAAGGCAAGGCTTCTTTTTCTTTTGTCCCAGTGGTGGGTTGAAAGCTAGTTTCTGTTATTTGTGTTTAATCCTCTTCTCCAACTTTCATGGAGCATGGTATGTTAATTGTCAGACTCTAGTTGTTGGTTTTTGGATAAAATAGATGGCCATTTTCTTGGCTGGAGAAGGAAAAAGAAGGGAGGGAAGAATAAAAGTCATTAAGCTGGTGTGAACAAGCTGGCTAGAACAAACCCTAGACCAAGGGCTGCTTTGTGTGGGTGCATTTTGCAGTGCTTCTGGAATGGCAGATGCTGTTGTCTTGGAAATTTCTTACATTTTGCCATTTACCGCAATGCATAAGCTGTTTGTGCTGTGCTTGAAAGATTCCCCACTCCAAAAACTGGCAAGAGTTAGGGTCTCACTGATGAGCCTGTGAGAACAGTAAAGCTGTTCATTTCCCCAAACAAGGATCCCTCTCTCCTCCAAAAAACCCTGAAAGCCAAGAAAAAAAATTTAGCTTGTTTCTTTCTCACTTTTATAGCTTATTATAGTCAAATTGCTAAGAAGGACATCTATCTGAATAGTGGCTTAACCAGCACCAAGAACTATGGGAAGACCATCCTCACAAAGGTAGGAGAGTATCCTCCTCTGCAGAGCATGTGTGTGTTGGTGATGTGTGCCATGGGATTGTGACAAGCTTCCTCGCTCTCTCAGAGACAAGCTGCTGGCTTTCTGATTGAGGCAGATCCCTGGGGTCAAGGATGTAGGTCACAAAACCAAAATCATTGGTTTTGTTCTTGCTGACAAGGGAAGACAGAACTGAATGGAATTGAAGATTGAATTCACTGCAGAACAAGAATGAGGAAATGTAGCCAGTGTCTAATAGGAGCTGTAGTTGTTCAGATATAAACAGAGTTTTGATATCTAAAGATGAATTTAAATGTGTTTTGCTTTAAAAAAAAAAAGAAGCAAAAACCCAATGAACAAACCAAAACCAAACCCTCAAACAGAGCAAGCAGTATTATACAATACATAGCCTTACAGTAAGAACAAATTAGTCTGCTGACTCAGATAAGGAAAAACTTACATGTTTGCTATTCTGTACACCCACAACATGCAGATGGACGATTGTATCCACTTGGTCTGTTCCAGTTGCAAGGTAAAGCAATGAAAGTAGTGCAGGGAGAGTGGGAAGTTTAGTTTGGGCCTTTTAGTGAAATTCCTCTACCTGATTTTTGTATGTGTCCTGAACAAGTAGAGCAGAGAACAGTGTAATAGACAGGGCTTATTAGCGCTAATACTAAGCCTAATATAAATTGATGCTGTCTGGATTTTTGTTTTTTCATACTTCATAAGACAGTAAATACATAAAGGCCTGAATATGAGCTTTGTCTCACTTGTAAAGATACCAGAGCAGTGCCTGTGTTTGCATCTACCAAATCTTTGCAGTTGAGCATATTTCTCTTTTGCTGACTTCTGCTGACTTCTCAGCTGTGCTTTTCTGTAGCCTGATTATAAAGGGAATTCATAATTGATGTGTGGGCTAAAACTTGGCACGGAAGCTGTCAAGAAGCTAGGACGAAGAAGACAGTGAAGCTTTGTGTGAGAGGGATGTTGACAAAGAGCTCTAGCCGTTGCCGTGCTATTTGCATTTGTTGTTCAATCTCCAAGCTGGAGTTCTGCCTTGGATTACAAAGGCTATTGAGTTTGCTGTCTTCCCAGTGGCAGGCACAAGCTTGCGATGAGCTGGTGGGAGCATTACGGATTGGTTTCACAGGGAAAGTGCTGCATGGTGTCCACTTGGGTTTAAAAAAAAAAGAAAAAACCTGCTTAAAACCCTTCCCGAAATTAAATGCAATGAAGCACAGGAGTGATCTCTGGGCAACTCCCCTGTCTCTGGCTCTCACATTACCTGTGCTTACACTGGTACTGGTGCTGCTGATTGCAGTGCTTTGCCCTTCCTGTGCCTGCACAGCAGCAGCAATGACGGTTAGCTCTTCAAACTTGCTTCTCTCCCTCGTGGTTAACTTTTATTTCTGTGCTAGTTTTATTTGTGGTTGTCACCTTGTGAGCTTGATACTGTCAAGGCACTGCAGGAAGGCAGTGAGGCAGAGATGGTTTGGGATCCTCAGCAAAGGGAGTCCTGTCTGGCATAAATGATGTTGGAAATCCATCCCTGTTGGGCCACATTTGTAGATGGCTTTCCCAGTCATCATGCAATAGAAGAGCTTATTCAGCACTCCTCATGTCATCATCCATTTAGAAGAAAAGATTCTAATGGCAAGATACGTTAAACAAGAGATCAAGAGATTGACTAATCGTAGTAGCTGGTGTTTGTTTGTATTGGTTTTTTGTTTCAACTTCTTATGCCTTCCAGCTATTTAAAAGCCAATTTTGGTTTTTTAAGTAACTGCATTGCATTGAAAATTAGATCAATCAGTATTCTAGGACAGCATTTTGCCTTTAACAGTGGGTTAGTATTCAAACCTAGTGCTGGAACTTGCCTTTGGAAATGCGCCGTAATTTTACTTGTCTTTAGTTGCCTGTGTCAGGAAAAAAAAATGTTCACAGGGAAATAATTTTCTATCTCAATGTATCTTAGAATTGCTGGTGGCCTGGAAGTAGCTGAGATCTTCTGTCGTGTCCTGCTCAGACTAATTTTTTTCAGCGTTGCTTTTTTCATGTTCAAAAAAGGAGGCTGACCTGGTTACGACGCATGAACTCGGACATAACTTTGGAGCAGAGCATGATCCTGATAGTCTACCCGAATGTGCTCCCACTGAAGACCAGGGAGGGAAATACGTTATGTATCCAATTGCTGTCAGTGGAGATCATGAAAACAATAAGGTACAGTTGCACAATTTTGCTTCCACGTACAAGTTTATGTTGTGGTCAATGACCCTTTGCATGGAAAGTCCATTTAGTTAATGATTCCTGTAGCTTGAAACCATCAGGAATGCAATGGATTAGCCGTAAGAAGAAAACATGCTTGCATGCCATTGGGTTCTCTGCAAGATATTCTCATTTTTGGATTCCAAGTTTCACTGGAGTTCATAGCATGCCCAGGTGCTTTTTTTAATTAGTTGTCTGTAATTAGCTGTGGCTGCATTCTCCTAAAAGCAAATCATCAGCAGAAGTCAAATACAGGACCTTCAGTACCAAATAGCATTTGGGTGGTCCATAGCTATTATTGTTGGAGAGAGACTGCCAGATGCCACAGCCATGATGCTCACCGGTCTCAGAAGCTTGCACTGACAGTGTGGACTTGGCATTGTGCCTGTTCTGCAGATGAGAAACCGAGATTATCGAGGGAGTGATTAGTCGGCAGTCTAGTCTGACTTGTTGTGGTTCACCTCTAGCCCTGCTGCCGAGAGGCAGCGCCGTCTCTCCCTGTTGCTACAACTTTGCAGCCCTTCCTGGGGGTGGTTGCTAGTGGTCCTGAAGCTGTGGGAGAGCTGGAGTTGGCTTTCTGACACCGAGCCAGACTGCGTGTGGGTGTCCCTGCATTGTAGGTGGGTGCTGGCCTCTTCTCTAAAGTAACAAGTGATAGGACAAGAGGAAACGGCCTCTATGATTCTCAATTTTCTTTACGAACCCAACCATTACTTTCCCATCTTAAAATCTTTCCAAGGTATCAAACTGGCAGTGTAGAGGGAATCACTACTTTCTGAGACACCAGAATTTAGGAGGGTCTTTGATGCCACTTGTTAACAGAAAGGTGCATTCACTCATCAGTGCTGCTCTTCCTCCTTGTGACTCTCTAGATGTTCTCAAGCTGCAGCAAAAAATCCATCCATAGGACCATAGAGATCAAGGCCCAGGAGTGCTTCAAAGAGCGCAACAACAAAGTGTGTGGGAACTCCAGGGTGGATGAAGGGGAGGAATGCGATCCTGGCCTCTTGTACCAACAGGCTGATCCCTGCTGCTCTGCAGAGTGTAAACTGAAAGATGGTGCCAAGTGCAGGTAAGGGGAAATAAGCTGCAACTTCTCTTAACATGGAAGAGAACGATGGCCTGGGCTGAAAGCTGAAGCCACCTGCAGTGTCACAGACCTGTTTGCTGGCTTTAAGGCTAAATGTGTGAGCTGAAGACAATAAAAGATTCCCGAAAGGCTGCTGTGTGCATGCATTGTTTGCATACATTAATTTTTATAGCATTCTGTTACTTTTCTGAGAAGTGCTAAGAGCTACATCTGTGAAGATTATTATTATTAAGCAAACTCAGGTATTAAAAAATTAATCTTAAAAATTTATTGTGCAAACTTCCTGTGCAAATACAATTTTTGCTGGCATTGCAAGGCAGCTTGAAACTGGGGTCACATGCTGGTGTTTTCAAAACTGCTGCAAAATGTGCTTCAGCAGACAACACAGGGACTGCACTGAATAAGTCCTCTTCCTGCTCTTCTTGCTCTTTGGGGTGTTTGTGGCCCTGCTGCAATGCAATATCCAATCTAGTTTTTTGAGAGTTCAGCTCTGCACCATGTAACAGTAAAGGAGCCATGCAACTGGCAAGAAATTCCCTCAACTTTAATGAGCGTGTCTGTATTACAGGCCTTCTTGCATTAGGTGTGAAATAGAGAGTAGTAAACCTTCAGGCCAGACAGGGGAAAAATGCAGGGGGAAGAAAAAAATGGAAGATCTTGTCCAAAGTTGCACAGCAAGTGACAAGTGGATCCAAGTGCCTTGAATAAATTTAAGGATCTCTGTGTTATCTGTCAATATATTGTACTTTCTACATGCTTTTACCTTTGGTAAATGAAGAGTGAGTGGTTGTGTAGAAATGTAGTCGTGGGAGGGGGCAGAGAGGGCAAGGGTTTTGAATCAGTGAGTCAATCTCCAAGAAGTAGGTGGTGTTTTTTTTTTCCTAAACATCCTTTTTCCCTGGCTTTGTCATGCTCGTACTTCTTTTAAAAAAAATTGCTTGACATTTCTTCCTTTCATTTTGATCTTTCCACAGTGATCGGAACAGTCCCTGCTGTAAAGGCTGCCAGTTTGAAAGTGCACAGAAGAAATGCCAAGAAGCCATAAATGCCACTTGTAAAGGAGAGTCTTTTTGCACTGGTAAGACATGGATCTGCCCCCTTTACGTCAGCTAGCCAAGCGCTCCAGGCACAGTGTCCTGTTCGATCTGCTTTCAAACTAGTGCCCTTTATTCATCCGGTACATGTAATTTTAGAGACCAGTTAAGTATCACAAAATTGCCCTATAATGATTTCATTGTAGCTCAGGAGTCACTTGGTGATTTACTGCCCAGAAGAAACATGAAAAATTTTAATTTTTCTTTTTTTTTCCTCCCTTCTTTCCTTCTCTTGAAAAAAGAAAAAGCAAATCAGGGTGTGTCACTGGGAGGGGACAGGAATGAGCTGAATCTTGCCATAGAAGTGGTGGAATTACTGCAACTCTGTTTCACTTCCCCACTTGTTTACTTCCTCCTCATAATCTCTCCTGGAGGCAAGGAGTCACATCAGAGCTGCTGATGGTGCCCGAGTTGTTGAAAGCCTCCAGAGCTTCTGCTGCCTCTCGGGGAGCTGGCAGGCAGCCTACAGATGAAAGCCAAGGACAAGCTATTGGGGTTCCCCCCGGGATGAGTCTGGATTTCCTTTATTATCCTTTTTTCTTCTGCACACTTAGCTGCTCTGCTGTTTACTCTAACACAGTCCTTCCACCCTGTCGACCCCCATCTGCAGGGAACAGCAGCGAGTGCCCCCCTCCAGGGAATGCTCCCGATGACACCGTCTGCGTGGACATGGGGAAGTGCAAGGATGGGGAGTGCGTCCCTTTTTGCGAGAGGGAGAAGAACCTCCGGTCGTGTGCATGCAATGGTGGGTGACATGGGACTGACCTCAAAGGCATGTTTCAGCTCTGCTCCTCGGAGAGGGCCGGCCTCACTGTAGGATTGCCTGTGGAGGGCAGAGATTCTGGTTTCTGAAAAAGTTTAAACCGTTGTTTTTTCAGGGCTAGTGTTTTCTGTTTGGAAAAGGAATGCAAATGTCCTCTGGTGGTCTGGGTTTGAAGATATTAAGATGAGACTTCTGGTCTGGCACCCAGAAAAAGGAAAGGGCACTCTCCCCTTCCTCCTCTGCCACAGGCAACAGAGCAGGCATCTGGCAGAGGAACAGTGGCCTCCAACAAGTGGTTAAAGAAAGATTTCTAAGAGGTTAAAGTGCCTTGAGAACACAGGATCCCTCAGTCTGGTCCCGTGCTACTGCAAACCTGCCTGTTACATGCTTCTGTCAGTAAGCTTTACTGTTTGCTTGGTCTCCATCTCAGCTCTTGAATCTGGTAAAGCAGCTGGGAGCAGGAGGAGCGCTTCACGGCGCAGTGCAGGGAAGTGCTGTGAGCCTTACTGAGATGGAGGGTGTAGCCAAGGAGAAGGGTGCCTAGAGGACCCAAGTCCAAGAAGTATTTAAATTGGTGTCTTGGACATGTTTGGTACCTCTTCACCTGCCTGTTAATTCCTGCAGAGTTGCAGTATCAGTTCGGAGAGCTTGGTCCTACTGTGTCCCCTAAGATGTTGCACAGGGCATCTGTTTGACTTTCAGGCTTGATCATCAGCGCCTGAAACCGGGCAACTTGCACAGTCCTGCCGTCCCCATGGGAAAGCTGGGCAGGAATACAGTCAGCTGGGGACATGCTGGGTTATGCATTTGCTGGTTTTGGGTTGCAAGTGACTCTTAGTGCTGCTGAGGAATGAGTTTGTTGCTTTATTACAGAAACGGATAATTCCTGCAAGGTGTGCTGCCGGGACGAGCAGGATAGGTGCATACCGTATGTCGATGCTAATGACCAGTTCCTGTTCCTGCGCAAGGGGAAGCCGTGCACTGTGGGCTTCTGTGATACAAATGTAAGTTTTCCCAGATGTCAGAGTGCTGCATGCTTGGCTTCTGTGGCTGGGTGTTTGAGTCCTCTGTGACGAGGACTGTGCTGGTAAAGACAAGCCAAAACTTGATGTGCTGCTGAGCGAGGTGATTCTGTATGTAAGTACCTCTCCACAGGGTAAATATTAAAGAGCATCTGAGGCTGCAGATGGAAGTTAGTTCTGCAGAGACCTTTGCAAGGTGAAGCTGTTACCTTCTGCTGTTGCTTAGTGCCCCTTTTGCTGCTCGCTGGCTGGCAGTTTGTGTGAAGGAGGTGAATGAGTGCTGCCATAAGCTTGCCTGGGTTTGCAGTGCTTGCAATTTCAGCTGTTCACATTACCACAATTAATTTTGACTAAAATAATTCAGGTCAGGGAGCAATCACATTAAAATCCATCTGAAGGGGGCTATGGCAGGGAGACTGGTGGGTTGCGGACCCTCAGTGACTGTTTCTGTGGTACAGCTGCATGGACACACGCATCACCTGCAGACCCCAATGGTTGAAGCTAAACTGGGTGTTCGCAGAAGTGAATTTGGGAGGGCATGCCCCAGCCGTTCCTCTGTCAGAAGGCTCTGGGGAGACCCTATAGCAGCCTTCCAGTACTTACTGTGGGCCTACAGGAAAGATGGGGGGGGCACTCTTTATCAGAGAGTGGAGTGACAGGATGAGGGGTAACAGTTTTAAGCTGAAAGAGGGCAGATTTAGATTACATATTAGGAATAAATTTTTTCCTGTGAGGGTGGTGAGGCACTGGAACAGGTTGCCCAGGGAAGCTGTGGATGCCCCATCCCTGGAGGTGTTCAAGGCCAGGCTGGATGAGGCTTTGAGCAACCTGGGCTAGTGGAGGGTGTCCCTGCCCATGGCAGGGGGGTTGGAACCAGATGATCTTGAAGGTTCCTTCCAACCCAAACCATTCTGTGATTCTACATGATTCTATGATCTACTGTGTTAAACCAGCACAGTCAGATCGGGGAGTCTCTCTCTGTAACACTTGGCTTATGAGAGCTGCAGCCTTCTTGGTGGGTAATGGGAACTGAGCTTTCCTGTGTTTAAACCTCTCCAGAAACTTCAGTTTTATGTGCCCTAAGAGGGGGTGAGGGTGGGGCAGTTTTAGCATGTTTCAAACATTAAAACTTTATCTGTTCCAGGCAGCAATAGAATTTAAACTGTTTTGCCAAAAATAAAGGCAGTAAAAATGAACTGCTGCTACTGGGCACGAGTGTCAACCTATATTCAGAATGTGAGTCAAGTGCTGCTGTGTCTGTAGTTTTGATTTCATTACTGTCTTTGTATCTTCTTCGCTTTCCAAGAAGGCAGTAGTTAGTGCTTTGATAGTATATGATTATTTTGTAAATAAGAGTTTACTTTTGCAGGGCAAATGCGAGAAGCAAGTACAGGATGTGATTGAACGATTTTGGGATTTCATAGACCAACTCAGCATCAACACTTTTGGTAAGATATGTAACCATATCTGTTGGGGTTTTTCTGGTTTGTGACATGAACCTCTGAAGCCTCGGAGGGAGTTAGCTGTCTGGTTTTATTCACCTGTATGCAAGGGTAGCTAGGAGCTATGATTCTGATATTTATAAATATATTTTTGCCTAGTTTGACAATATTGATCTTGCCTTTTAAACCTGAAAGGATGGGGGATCATTTTGTGTTTTTCCCCTCCATTATTTTCTAGGCATCTTCCAAGCTTGTAAAGGAGATGATAGCTTCTTGTCTGAATACCAAGAAGTAGGTCAATTAGAGAAAAGGAAGTAACAGTCTTTTTAGAGGTCAGCTAGATTTGGCGTAGTATCCAGTGGGCCTCTCAGTGGGATTTAAATGTCAACAGACTGGGAAGGGAAAACTTTATTTCTTGTTTAAGAAGACCACTGAGGTCATGTACCTCAAGTTGTGTGCCTGTACTGAGTCACTGCCCAGAGACTGGGCGTGGGCTTCCGTGATCTTGGTCCCCACTGTGCAGTCCAAGCAGTGTAACCCCCTGGTATCTCACTCTATGTTACTGGAACCATACAAAACCCATTAATAAGCCGGTGCTGTGTAATGACTGGGTAACTCCACATGCTCCCAAGTAATGCTGTGCCTACACAGTGTAATTATCTGCGTTTGGGGATTTCAATCTTTAGTTCTAGGGTCAAAAAATTGTTTCTTAGGTAATTGTTAAAGCTATATATTCAGGTAGAGGCAGTTTTTGTATCTTTGATGTTCAGATGTTTTGTTTGTGGATGCAGGTAGTTATCACTTGCCTGTAAAATCAGAATTTGGTAACAGAGTTGCAGTGTGTCTTGTATAATTGAGAGGGGCAGCTTGGCTAATGCCATATAGCCTGTTCCCAATCAGCCCATGTTAAATGTTACAGCCTGTCAACATTTCTCATCAGAGAAGAACAAAGGAAAAAACTGTTATTGTTAACATATCAAATACAATTTTCTAAAATGGTATAATGTCTTTTGTCTTTGCCTGTACTTCTGTGAGCAATTCTGTGGCTTAGCTGGCATGAGCAGTGGCTGCAGAATGGGGATAGATGTGTATGTTCATCAAACAGTATTTGGTAGGTAACTAACAGATGTGAACTGATTTCACAGGGAAGTTCCTGGCAGATAATATAGTGGGCTCTGTGCTTGTCTTCTCCTTACTTTTTTGGATTCCTCTCAGCATCCTTGTGCATTGTGTGGTAAGTAAGCTGTATTTGAGATGACTGCTCTGTTGGATTGAGCTGTAAGAGAACACCCTTCATATATGAATGGCAGATGTCTGTGGGAGAAAGCAATGGGAAGATTTTAGCAAACCCCAGGGGGGAATCCAGCATATGGAAGACTTACTGCTCCTTCAGTGGGCAAAACTCCCGCTAAATGCTGCTGGGGTCTGGCAGACCTGGTGCTCCCATGACTGTTCCCTGGAGCCTTTCCCATTCTTTCCTTGCCAGATTTTCTTCCTCTGCCTCTCAAGTTCTACCCAAGTATAATTTTGGTAACGTCAATTAGAGTCAAAGTTTTCTAAGCCCCTGCTAAGAAATAAGACACCCACATTTTGTGGGGAGACCCAGAGCCACAAGTGGTCTTGGTTGAGTTGATGGGTAAGGAGAGAGAGCTCGCAGCTACTGAGCGTATGGGCATGTGGTGTGATGGTGATAGCAGTGTGGGGTTAGAGCAGAGAGCTGCTGCCCCCACAAGCACTCCTGGGATGGATGGGAAGGCATTGGGAGGAAGGGGAAGGGAAAAGAGCCCCATGCACTGCTGTATCCCTGCAAGGAAACAGGGACAGGGACCTTGCAATTGGGAAACTAACTTTCTTACTTTGTGTGTGTGTGTGGTTTGGTTTGCTTTTGTTTGTTTTTCAATAGGACAAGAAATTGGACAAACAGTACGAGGAGAACACAAAGTCCCTGTTTTGCCCCAGTGTAAGTTGCTGTCTCAGTATGAATTGGCAGAAAGCTATCCAATGTGTATTAGAAAATCTGAACCTAAGGTGGGTGCAGAGTATTTATCCAAGAAGTGATAATAGACTTGCAGCCCTGTGCCTCACGCTGCAGATGGATGAATCGGTTTGAGGGGAAACTGTTTTCTTGAACAAGCCTGTGTTCAACATATCAAGTACTGCAGCTTGGTGGCATCACATTCTTCCTTCCTGTAAGAGCTGTGCCTTGACCTTTTTGACAAAGCAGCAGTCTCGTAGCTGCCACAGCTCCTGAGACAGGAAGCTGCTCTGATCTGCAGAGCACTCCTTCATGCAGTAGGCGCCTGTGTACAGGGTCCCCTTGGCATGGGTCATTCGGCACCTTTAGCCACAGAGCACTTGTTCCAGCCAAGTGGTGTCAATGAAGGAGGAGGCTCAGGAGGGCAACGCAGCTGAAAAATCTCTGGAAGATGTGTTGTCTTTGCAGAATGGTTGTTTGCAGGAGTCAGCTTCTAGTGGCCAGATGTGCTACAGCCTTGCAGTTGCTTATGGGGGAGCTGGCGTCAGGGTGCACAGACTTGTCAGTGACACTTCTCACCTTGTAGATACCGAGTTGGGAGAGGAGAAGGGCAAAAAAGTGCCTAGATAAATTTTAATTACAGTCCAGCACAGGGCACCTTCTGACATAGATTTTTGGGCGTCTTTTGTCCAGTGCTTTCATGGCCCAATTCTTATTAATAGCTGAAACATGCAGTTATGGAAATGTTTCGTAACAGGAGAGGGGGAAAAAAAAACCTTGCAGAGCTCCTGTACAGCCACTGGGGGAAGCACACTGGAGTCAGAGACCAGGGTGACAGATTGCCATCTGCTCTGATGTAACTGAAGGTCATCTTAGTTCGAGTCTCCCATAGCTGGTCTTGAATGCCATAAGAAAGTCACCTTAGAGCTTTATACCTGAATTCAATCAAGAAAATTCTAGAAGGAGCTGTAGCAATAGAGCATGGGTATAATTAATGGGTTCCTTGCACCGGCAGCAGGTTTAACAAATGAATCTCATGTCTTTTGGATCTGCTGAGGATTGAGCGGTTGGGAAATGCAGTACTGCTAGCAGGTAAACAGCTCTTGGTGTCACCTGGCTTGACCCTGCGTTGCCAGCCTTTGGTTTTGACTAAGCAGTGCTGGGCCCCAGGGAGGTGGGGCTGAGCTGTCAGCTCTGTCCCAGTGAGGTTGTCACCCATGGTGCTTTATATGGAGGAGGAACAAGCAGAGATAAAAGGGCCTTTCTGCCTTCAGTGCTTAGCATAGCTTCTTCAGGGAAAAAAACAACACAACAAATTACTTTTGCTGGATGTTCTCTTGCTCTTAAGTAACTGTAAATCTACTGTAAAATCCAAGATCGAATTCCTTTTCCAATGCGGTGCAGTGGGTTCAGCCCAGCTGGCACAGGGTGGCCTCTGGCAGCATGAGGGCAGTCAGCACATCTCTGCTGGGAGGGAGGGGAGGAAGCAGGAGCCTTCACACTGCTCTGACAAGTGCGGGTGCTCCTCAGAAGGTGCTGATTGCCTGTTCCTCTTGCAAACAGTGCAAAAACTGAACCCTGGACTAGATCCTGGCTGCTTTTCCCAGTGATGTGGCTGCTTGTGTCTTGCAGAACGTGGAGATGCTCAGCAGCCTGGACTCTGCCTCTGTTCGAATCATCAAGCCCTTCCCTGCAGCACAGTCGA